ACCCTCTTCCCTAGTGGCACCCTCCCAGAATCCCCCCCAAACTGGAATTCATACATTCTGTCATTTGTGTTAAGGCCTATTGTTTCAAGTTAGTGTCCTCAGACATTCCTCAGTGCAAGTTCATCTAATCAGGTCTAGTCACCCTATCTAGAGTCCCTCATGTTAGTAACTCACCCAGGAGTAATCAGTTGCTAATATTTCTTTAGTTAAGATTGGGATCTTCTTTCCGTTTCCACAGTTCTGTGTTGGGGTTTTGTCTGCATGAGTTTGCATGGGTCTTAGTCATGCTAACACCATTGCTGTAGGTTCATATGAGCAGGGTCCGAGGAGCTTGTAGGACTCTATTTCCATGTGGCCCTGCACCTCCTTCCTGTCTCTTACAATCTTTCTGCCCCATCTTCCACAATGCTCCCTGAGCCCTGGGTGGGTGAAGTTTAATATAGGTGTCCTGTCCAAAAAACCAGCATTCTGCAGATGCTTAATCTCTATGCTTTGGCCATTTATGACCTTTTGTGTTCTTGGCCCTCTGTTACATGAGGGAGTTTCATTAATGAGGGTTGAGAGATTCATTAGTGGTCTCATTACCCCTTGTTCTGTTCCATGAGCCTTGGGTGTAGAGGTTGAATTGTAGATGTGCCACTTACACTTGGGCAATTCAAAGACAATGTCTGTGGTAATCTGTAATTGTCTCCATCTGGTGCAAAAGAAGCTTCTTTGATGAGTGGTGACTAGGATACTTGTCTGTAATTATAAGGATATATATTTTGTACATAGGAAGAAATTAAATTAGTCTGGGGATGTGATAGTCTTGGGGTTTTCTCTAAGATCTATGAGCTCTACACCCATGTGTATTTGGATATGCTTACTGTACCACACATGACTTTCCTCTCATTGAGTGGGCTTTTAGTCAAATTAGGTATCTGTTGATTGCCTCCAAGTTAAAAGTGTCACTACTGCACCAGTGTCATATGCTGTGTCAGTCATTGATGTGGTTGTTTGGTCTTGAAGTTGGGAATTCACACTGTGACTGAGATCTATGCAGGAAACAGCCAAAGCAATGTCAGCATTAGTTCAGCATGGAGTATGCTATTTTCCTTCTGTTCCTTTGAGCAATAGTGTTACTGAATTATATTTGAACATGTGTGCAGATTGTAATATTTTTCACTTGCTTCAGCATCATCATGATACAAGTCATGCCTTTAACCCACAATTATTCTCAATTCTTGAAAAAGGCCCCTGCACAAATAAAACTGTTCATTTGAATGAAAATTTTTTAGCCATGTCTTTTTTTTGGGGGGGGGGCGGATCTCATGACCTCATTTGCTCTGGTTTTAATTCTGACTTGGAGTTACTTTATATATTCCATCTGACACTCGAAAACTTGATGCTCTTATAATTAAAAAGTATTACTGCATTTTAATTACTTTGTGTGCAGGCGTGCATACATGTGTGCCTGTACAAACTCTGATGAGTATGTGGAAACCAGAGGACAGCTTGCAGGCATCTGTTCTCTCCTTCCACCATGTGGGTTCCAGGAATCAAACTCAGGTTGTTAGGCAGCAGGAACCTTTCCCCACTGAGCCATTTTGCCACCCCCAATGTTTACATCACTTGCCTCTGCCCTTCAATACTCTGGGTTCTGCTGCTTTTATTATTTATTTATTTAGCCAGGATCAAATACATACCTGAGGAGCTGACTGGTCTAAAAGGCAGCTCTCTTGGATTAGAGTAGGCTTCTTGGAAACGGTCTCTGAGACATGGAGTGGTATGCTGAGGTTGCAGAGGAATTTGTCGAGGGGATAAATATTTAAAGATGCATGGGATACAGCTGAGGGCAGAGAAAGGACTGGCCTACTGTGGAACTGTAATTGAAGCCTGACTCTGTTGGTTGTTCTCACTGGGTTGCCTTACTTCTTCAACACTGAGGTCGAGGATTTAGCTTTTCTGTCCCAGTCACTGAACAACCCCTTAGGAGAGAGGCACGACTTTCTCTGAGCTAGACCCTTGCAACCAGTTGAAGACACTTCCCAGAAAAGGTGAGGTTCTTGTCCTGGTGATCTTGATGCACCTTCAGAGTCCTTTTTGGCACTCTAAGCTCTAGGAGGAAACAAAGGAATATGAAATGAAAGATAGAGAGTCATGAAGCTGTCTTCCAGTTAGCACATAAGAACTCCCAAGCGCTCTCAGAAGTGCATCATGGACCTCAGCGTTTTTGTTTTTATATATACATGCCTGGGTGAGTGTGTAGCACATGCATAGGCACCCACGGAGGCCAGAAGAGCATATCAGATCCTCTAGAGATGGAGTTACAGAGGGTCATGAGCGTCCTGATGTGGGTGCCAGGAACTGAACTCAGGTCCTCTGGAGGATCACCAACTATTCTTAACCACTGGGCCATCTTTCCGGCCTCATTGTCAATTCTTAATTCTCAGTCAGAAGATGTCCATGTGTGGGCTATGGCTTCTTTTTCCATCAACACAGGTCCTAGTTGGGATGCATTCTTCTTTTCTCTTGTCAAATTATTCAAAGTTTCTTATTTGATTGTAAAAATTTGTAACCATTGTGTTATCCACTAAAATTTTGCGCAAATCATTTTGATACAAAAACAACACTAAGAAACTAAAAATTAATACTCATTATTTTCTTTCTCAAGTCTTCTAATAAGCTGCCTGTAGCTTAATGTGCAGCTCGGAGGGTTCTCTTGACACACTGTTACAAATCTTCAGTGTACAATCACCCCAGTTTGAGAGAAAAAAAAATGATAGTATTTTACATTTGTAAGACATGGTAAAGTCTTCAAATTGAGAAAGAACATAGGAGAGGGGAGGGGAAATGGAGATAAGATCTAGACTGTCTTAAAAATCTCAGTGGTGGCACATGCCTTTAATCCCAGCACTTGGGAGGCAGAGGCAGGTGGATCTCTGTGAGCTCAAGGCCAGCCTGGTCTATATAGTGAGTTCCAGGACAGCTGGGGCTACAGGGAGACCCTGTCTCAAAAAGAAAAAAAAAAGAAAAAAAGAGAAAACTCAGTTTACTATTTTCCCAGCTGTGAAAGTTTGAGAAAGTTATTTAATCTTCCTGTGCTTCAGTTTTTCCTAAGTTTTGTAGGCTATGATGCATTTTACAAATAAAATTATTTTAAACACTATATTTTGATACACATAGGCTAAAATAATGCATTATATTCCTGAATAAATTAAAAGATAAGAACAAATTTAAAAGTATTACATATAAAAACTGAACAATATTTAAAGACGGATTGAATAAGTACTTTTCAATCCAGTTTTGAAAGCAAGGCTGTGGGAGGAACAGGACATATGTCTCCTGAAACTGAATTTCCCTTCACTTAGAATGTTCTTAGAAGTCTTGTATCTGGAAAACCTGATGCAAATCTACTGTCAACCATGCAAAAAGCAGAGGCTATGCTCTGAAAGATTACAACAGTACACCTCACTTTGTCATGTAGTTTTTTTATATTTTTATTCCATTTTTGTGCATTTCATACAATACATCTTAATCGTATTCAGACTTTCTTTTGTCTGTACTCGCCCATAGCCCCCCTGCCAGATTTCATGCATTCTGTCATGTATGCTAAGTTTTTGTTCCCGGATGTGCCTCAGTGTCCCTTGAGACTGTTCAACCTACCTAGTCTCACTCCCTTAAAGAAGACCAACTCTCCCTCATCCACAAGTGGTCAGTTTCCAATATCTCCTCAGCGAAGGTTGGGGTTTCCTACCCATTTCCCCACTTATATGCTGGGTTTTGGTCTGGTTTGAGTTTGTGTGGGTCTTATCCATGCTATAAGTTAATAAGAATAAGAAGTCTGAAAATTCTGTTTCCCTGTGGTCATCCACAATTCCTTGCTTTTACAGTCCTTCTGCCCCATCTTCTGCAATGGTCCCTGAGCACTGGGTGAGTGAGGGTTAATGTGGAGTCCTATCCAGGAACACACACTGTAGTACTGTAGTCTCTACATTTTAGACAGTTGTGGCTTTCTGGGTTAATTATCATCTGTTACATGACAAAGCTTCTCTGGTGAGAGTTGAGAGATGCATTAGTATTCTTTCTACCCCCCTTTCAACTTTGTTCCATGAGCCTTAGGTATAGAGATTGAATTGTAGATGTTACTTAGGGTTGGGCATTTCGCAGACACTTATTCTTTGCATTTGACCAGTTGTAGAACTCTCTAATAGGCTCCATCTTTTGCAAAAAGAAGCTTCTTTGATGAATGGTGACAGGTATACTTGTCTGTAAATATAAGGATATATATGTAGCTTGTGGTAAGAAATTATGATTGCTTAGGGGTGTGACAGATATGGGTCTTTCTTTAGGTTCTATGACTTCTCCAGTTGCATGTATTGGTTATGTTTACAGTACCACACATGAGTTCTTTCCCATTGAATAGGTTTTAAATTCAATTAGATTGCTGTTGATTTCCCCCAAGATAAAAGTGCCACTACTGCACCAATAGACTCTACCTCTATTGTAGATGCAGTTTGTAAAGCAATAAACAATGAAAACACTTGGTTAACATGCTAATTGTTTTACTGAATGGGAATAGGAAGTTGGAAACTAAGTACTTGCCCTTTATTCTCTAAAAATAAACAGAAATAAAAATGTATATGAGAATTTTTCCTGGAAGCTCTTTGTGCTTTACAAAAATAACCTTTATTTCATTTATTTACTAATCAATTTTTTAACAATGTGGTTTTTTTTTTTCTTAAAGAATGGGATAGGACAGTCATGCTTTATAAAATTTGGATCCTGTCATCTGAATGTCCCAGTGGTATAGACTTGCTTCTCAGGGTGGTGCCAGTGGGAAGTGATGTAAGTTTTAAGAGGTGTGGCCCAGGGGGAGGTCTTTATCCATTGAAGGTATGCTGCTAAAGGGGCTTGTAGAATCTAGCCCCTTCTTTTGATTACTTTAACTTTCCAATCAGGAGGTAACTGGTTTTGTTCTGTCTAATAATAGTTCTGCCTTGTGTCTTTCTTCACCATAGGTACAAAAACAACAGAGCCCAGTGACTGTGGATTGAAAACCCCAGCTCTGTGAGCCATCATACACCTTTTCTCAAAAGCTGAGTATCTGAGATATTTGGTAGAGCGACAGAAAGCTGACAGACATAAGAGACCCAAATATCTAGTTAAAAAATACAGCTATTTATTCTGTATGTGTGTACATGTCACAGTCTCTCTCTCTCTCTCTCTCTCTCTCTCTCTGTGTGTGTATGTGTAGGAAAGAAAACAGGTTATGAGAGATAGTTCTGTCCTTCCACCATGTGAATCCCAGGGCTTGAACTCATGTCTTTCAGCCTTGGTGGCAGGTGTCTTTGTCTGCTAAGCCATCTAGCTTCCCCCAAATATCTACCTTTATAAAATATCAAATTGGAATTCAGAAATGAAAAATAAGCTTTTCAGACTAATTAAATATACTATTGTCTATAGAACTTTTACATTTTTTATTTCTGGGATATATTATTCCTTTCTTATAGGAATACTAGCTATGTTATATCCATTTTTATGTCCAAGAAAGACTCTTTTATCAACTTCTATGTAAGATCAGAAAGTTCCTATACCAGAAGACCAAACAGACAAGACCCTTAAAAATGATGAATGCAATGTTTGTATTGCAAACTCAGATTACAGCCTAGAAATTGTTGAAAGAAACTGACTTCTTTCTCCCTTTACACACACAGAAATAATGCTGGATCATTTACTTTGTCCTAATTTTTCTTACACTTTCAAGACTGATACACTAATTGTCTTTAAGAAAAGCAATTACTAAGTGTTCCTTTAGACAGGCAAATTTAATGGCTTATTTCTATATTGCATGGAAGAAAAGTCTTTGGGGAAATTATAATATTAGTTCATTTGAAGTTATCTTGAAAGGGTATGCAATCTGCCTTCCTTTTAAAGAAAAAAAGAAAGAGGTAGGATTGTGGTCCAACTCCTACTAAAATAAGCCGTTTCCACCATTATCACCTATACACCAACATGCTGCATTTCTTCCATAATTCCACACCAAGGTTATATGCCTTGATATTTTCATTTAGTGATTAAGTGCTGAATTGACCTTAGTTGGGTTGTGCAAGAGCAGGGAATTAAAGGGAACAAAATAAGACAAACAAAGATGGTCCCTTGGCTGAGATTTGAACTGACAGGCAAGGGGTTAAGAGATAGTGGCATTGTCTAATTTCCTTCTTAAGTTGGAACTTTTGAGGATTCTGTGCATGGGGAGAGCTGCTTTGAGACTGACAATATAAAGAACAGACTAGGACAGTGGAAGATGGTCTTGCTTCTGCAGGGAACTCAGAACAGTTGAACACAGCATTTGAAACTACCAAACCTAACACATGGCTTGAGAGGTTGTTTCCACGTCCGGCCAAGGCTATAGTGTGGCTACTGCGATTTGCTCAGCAGATGTGTGTTCAAGGGAAACAGATTAGGAGCCAAAGAACTGAGCAGAGATTTCGTGGTTTATGCTAATAGCTTTGACAATGCAAATGAGGCATGCTTTTGCTACACGTGGACATAGCTTAGAGTCACTTTGAGAGAGGGCCAGCATCCTGTTCTTTAAAGGTGAGGGTACCCAAAGCAATGAACACAGACTTTATGAGGATAGATTTATAGTAAAGTACTATTGATTGAGAATATCCCCTCTGAAACATGGTGTTTGCAACTGATAGCTACCCTGCACCTCGCCACAAGAGGACACAATAAGGAAGCCTTCATCAGATGCAAGTATCTTGATTTTAGAATTTCTTACCTCCAGAACTATGAAAAAGAAAAGTCCATTCATTGTAAGCTACCCAGCCCTAGATAATCTGTTTTAGCAGCACATAATGGACTACTGTACATCACTCCCAGAATTTTATGATTTAGAATGAATTATTCCCATCTTCATATATAACGCGGAAGAAAGGAATGCTTTTGTCCCATATCATGCCATTTCAGTTCATGTATGGACACCGCTATAGTGTATCTGCCAAACTGATATCTAATCCTTGAGCTTCGGAAGTTCTAAACTGTTATTCACTGTGAATAAGTGCTGTTCATACCTGTTGATCAAACAACTGGCCAATGTGGAGAAAGTAAGAGACTGCAGGATGATTACTCTTGAAGTGGGACACCTTTATGAAATTTTTGTCTCCAGTTGTTCAGGGATCTTTCTGGAAGACGGGGCAGAAAGATTGTAAGAGCCACTGGGGGTGTATGGCCACAAGGAAACAGAGTTTTTCAGACAGCTGAGAAGTTGCTCATATGAACGCACAGCAATAATGACAGCACAAGTCCCACATAGGCTCATGTCAGATGAAATGTCAGTGTAGATATGAGGAAGTGTGTAAGAAACCCCAAACCATACTTGAGGGACTATTGGAAACCAATGGCTTATGGGAGGGGGAGAGTTAGCCTCTTTTAAGGACATGATTCTTGGTAGCTGGCTAGGCTGCCATGGAAAGATCCACACCCAAGGATGTTTAGGAATACAAATTTGACTCTATAGCCTCTCATATATATAT